CCCTACGCCGCCACCCCTTTCCCCACCCCCCCAATGACCCAGGTCGGCGCGTCCCAGAAGCTGGCGTGCGTAATCGACGGAGAGTCCCTCATGAACGACGGCAGCGCGCTGGTGATATTCCTGCTCCTCCAGAAGATCGTCGAGGGGGAGGCCGTCACGGTCGGAGGGGTGAGCCCAAACCCGCGCCCGCGCCCGCGCCCGCACCGCCTGGCGTGCCGCGTCCCAGGGCGGCGTTGCTGAGGGTGGAATGTCGGGGGCCCCGGCCATCCGAAGGCTGTGGCCGCGCTGCTGTGATTGTTTCGCGGCGGCGGCGCCCGTTTGGCTGCCCCTCTGCACAGTGCCCGGCGCTGCTGACGGTCGGACGGTGCAGTTGCGAGGCGCAGTTGCACGGCACGCGCCTGCCTGCCTGATCACCCGCCCACCCACATGCCACCCCTCCTACCTCAAGAACCGCACACCGCAAACGTGCCACCCAAATCAGAAGCACTCCACACCCTCTCGCCTCGACCGCACCCAATCCAGGCGATCGCCCAGTTCTGCCTGCTGGCTGTCGTGGGCATGGTGCTAGGCATCGCCTTTGGCGCGGCCACCAGCTGGCTGCTGGACAACATTTTCCGCGACCCCACCCTGACCACCATTGTCACGCTGATGTCAGCGTATGCCAGCTACTACACCGCCGACCGGCTGGTGGGGGCGTCTGGGCTGCTGGCGGTCGTGTGCAACGGGTTCGCGATGAGCCTGATAGGTGTGGGCTGCAAAGGGTTCGCGATCAGCCTGGGAATAGGAAGTAACATAGAAGCTGCCGCAGGGGCCCATGGTGCATGGGACTTGTTGCGCGGGGTCGCAGATTCGACCTGTCATAGGGCGCGCACCAGCGCGCATCTGCGCGGCCCGCCGCGCGTCAGTGCGGCAGACCCCTGCTCACCCGCCTCTTCCCGGGCGTCGCGCCGTGGCGCCGCGCCCCCTCTCAACCAACTGGTCCATCGCACAAAAGTTCGATCGACCGCCCCTACCGCCGAACCCCACCGCTCGGCAGGCGGGCGGCAGATCGCGCTGCGCGCAGAGGAGGCGATGCATGGCTTCTGGGGCGTCCTCGAGTGGGGGGCCAACACCATCCTGTTTGTGTGGGTGGGCATCGTGCTGGCAATCGTGCTGCCGCCCTCGCACGAGGAGACGGTGATCACAGATCAGCCAATCCACCTGGTGCCGAGTGACGCAGGTTACGTGGTGGTGCTGTACATATGGCTGCAGGTGGGGTGAGGATGGGGTGGGGGTGGGGTGGGGATGG